AAATGAGTCAGTAAAGAAAAAGCACACTTGGCCAGGCACTGGCCTGTAATCCTAGCACTTTTGGAGGCTGAGGCTTGAGGATTGCTTGAGGCCAGGAGTTCGAAGCCAGCCTGAGCAAGAGTGAGACCCTGTCTCTCCAAAAAATAGAAAAATTAGCCAGGCATGATGGTACATGCCTTTAGTCCCAGCTACTGGAGAGGTAGAGGCAGGAGGATCGCTTGAGCCCAGGAGTTTGAGGTTGTAGTGAGCTATGCTGACACCACTATATTCTAGCTTGGGGGACAGAGCAAGACCTTGTCTCCAAAAAAAAAAAAAAAGCACACTTATATGACAATGGAAAAAATAAGTATTAAGTATGTTTGAGCAATGATACTTTTACAAAACAGCACTGCCTGAAAATAATAAATTGTTGAAAGGTGAATAAAAAGGTGGCACCTAGAGTTTTCCCAGTTGCTAATTGCATCTGCAATCTCTCTCTCTCTATCCACACATATACACAAACACACATATGTACACGCAAATATAGTATATATTAATTCCTGCTTCTTTTGTACACAGTTATATATGGGATTTATCAAATTGATATTTGAATGCAACTAACATTTTGGTGCATAATAAATTCATATTGGTCTAACAGCAACTAGAAATAAAACCAACTTCCAGACTCTACTGGAATAAAAACATTTACACACCAATTTTACATTTAGTATTAGACAATGTTTAATGTATTAATATGTCCTGTTAAACACTGACTATTCTTTATATCCATTAATAACTGTAAAAGTTGTGTAAGAAAGAATCTGCCTGCTTATGAAATTAAATAATATTTTAAATATTTGGAGTCATATAAAAAACCTGAAGACTGCTTTTAGCTCAGATACTATGTGTCATGTTCAGTGGCATGATGTGCTTTCATCATATTTTTGGTATTTTATAAATTTTGATAAAGTAATACCCATTAATATCTCTGTAGACTACAGAGCTGACACCAGCTAAACTTTCGTTCACATTGTCAGGATTCATATTGTCAGGATATTTGTGTACAAATATTGGTGAACTTAACATTGAGTGTTCTCAACTTGACCAACCTTCATTAAGAGTTCTTTGCATTAAATTGTTAGTTGATATTAGATTACATAAATTATGCCTGCCATGTTTATTTCTTACATGTAAATCACCTACTTCATGATTTTGTTTTATATAAAAGTATCCACATAATGTCCATGTAATAAGCATTTGTTTAAGGCATAGAGTTGAAAAGAGTTATGAAGTCCTCAAGAAACATATAGGATAGTGGGGGAGATCAGTATATGCAAAAAGACATGCAGCCTTAGTTTATTTGCTTCATGTTCCTTACTGGGGACTTCACTGGGCATTGACCTCATGCTGGGCTCTCTAACCACCCTCACTCATAGGTCAGAGGAAGATAGAGACAGACACATACAAATCAGGATACACATTATAACACATGCTGCATTGCGATGGTAAACTGTACTTATGTGAGCTGAATACTGAAGAATGATTCAGTATTCATTACTGAATAAACAGGGAGTAAAAGGTATTTCAGACAGAAGTCCCTGCATACAAGGCCAGGAAGACCTTTCATTCTTTAGAGATCTAAGAAGTAGGGGAACAAGGGAAACCCTTGCTAAGTAGGCCTGAATCAGATTCCTTCTATAAAGGCATTTCATGCTGACGGCATGTGGAGAGCACATCTTTCTTTTGGAAAGATTTATTATTAGCAGTGAAAAGGAAGGCAGTAATGACATACAAGAAACATTTTAGGGACAGAAGAGACTACATCGTGATTAACTGGACATGAGAGAGAGTAGTAGAGGAAGATGCCTGGATGTCTAGTGCGGACATTAGAAGGCGTTAAGGCTTTCAGCTGAAATAAGGCATTGGATGAATTGGTGCAAGTATGGGGTAGGAAAATCACAATTTCCTTTTTATTACATATAACTGAGATTATGACAGGATATCTAGATGGAGATGTGAGAGTACTTATCCTGTTATATTGTAGTTTTTTTCATGCATGTCTTACCTGTGTACTCTAAGCTCGGTAAGGAAGGAGTATTTGCTTTCTTCATCTTTTTATTCACACTTTCTATAATATCTCTTAAGATGTTGTAAAAGCTCAAAAATATTGTAAGAGGAATAAATCAGGAGAAATGAATAAATGAATGAACAAATAGTTGGAACACAAGTAAATAACTATATGAAGTGGATAAAAGCCTAAGAAATATGAAAGGAATTTAGCAGAGATATCTTTTGCCATAGGAATCTAATATTTATCCCTAAAAATGCTGTCCTTTGAAAGATGCACATAATACACTGAGAAAACTTGTATTGGTTTCAACATATGCATGACTTAAAATGGAAATTTATATTAATA